AAGGTCTGGGATGTCGGAGGCCAGGACAAGATTCGCCCCCTGTGGCGCCACTACTACCAGGGCACAAACGGCCTGATCTACGTGGTTGACAGCAACGACCGGGACCGCATCGAAGATGCCCGAGAAGAGCTCAACAAAATGTTGAACGAGGACGAGATGCGCGATGCTGTGCTGTTGGTCTTCGCTAACAAGCAGGCACGGTTGTTAAGTTGATGAAGCTGTGACATGATCAAGATCTCAGATGTGATAGGGACTACACTACACCGCTGTCCCGCCAGGACCTGCCAAATGCAATGACTGCGGCGGAGGTCACTGAGAAGCTTGGGCTGCACAACCTGCGCCATCGCCAGTGGTTCATCCAATCTGCCTGTGCCACCACGGGAGACGGTCTGTACGAGGGTTTGGACTGGCTCTCGCGGACACTGTCCTCAAAGCGCTGAGAAGCGGACCACCATGAGCGGAGAGTTTCAGAGGCCTATCATTGTGTAGTGTGGTAGGCCTCAAGGAGAATTTTGGCCCTTGGCTAGAGGTAGGGGTGCACGACCGTTGTAGTCACTGATACACCGCCGCACACTTCGCTGTGCTGAAAATGCCATGCTTCGGTGCAAGTGTCACTTGTCACTTCGCGTTTGGGCAAGTTTTGGATATATTCTTAAACATATAGATACTGCGTGGATGCAGTCATGGAACCCTTGTAGTAACTAACATTCCTAGCCACAACAAAAAGCCCCCTCCGAGGCCCACAGCCATTGGAAGCCGTTGCGAGCAGAGGCGGCTAGCAGGGTCGTAGTCGGCTTATTTGGGAGGTGAAGTGGTGGGTAAAGGGCGGTGTTGATGTTCTTCTGGGACTTGGGGTAACCAGGGCGTGCTTTAGACTTTAGACCTCAAGTCTGAAGTTGGGGCTCTTTCTCGTCTTCTTGTAACAACTGAGGGTTTCGTCACACGGCAACGAAGGCTGTAGTGATCGATGTACCTACATTGCAGCATGCTGCTTTTCCCTTCGCCGTCAGATGCCCGCAGCAACGATCGAGGAAACCGTCGTTGAAGAGAGGAGCTGAAGAGCTGATAAAGCAATCTAAGCCTCATGAGGCTGTCAGCCCTCAGGGTTTTGCCTCCACAGTGTAGCGGAAGGGGATCGACATGGACAAACTCTTGAAACAAGAGTGCTGTCCCTGGGGAAGGGCCCTTCTTGGCGGGGGGGAAGAAGGCAGGGAAGGGGGAAGGAAGGGAGGGCTGCAGTGCTACTCCCGAAGCCTCGAGCTTCATCGATTCCTCGACAGTTCTGCACGTTGCAAAATCTGATATTGCAACTTTGTCGGCAAAGGCTAACTTTGAGTAGTGTATGCCACCTATGCTTTGTGCCAACTGTGCCACTTAGCAGCACGCGCCTGGCCAGCATCTCACGAATCGCAACCGGCTTCGAGCCAGCGCCTTCCTTTTCCATCCGATGTCCAGCCCATGGCACCAAGGCACCAGGGCTTCTAGTACCAACCAAGCGCCACGTGCTTTGCTCTGGCGAGTGTGGTTCGGCATCATCATCCTGAGCTCGATACTCATCGTCACCATCCTGACGACTATCTTCGTCTTCCTTCCATCATCGATCAGCCCCATCTCGGTCTCAGAGATATCTGCAGACCTCAAAGGACTCGCTGAGAATAGAAAAGTCAAGCGCGGTCGTGCGAAGAGAGCAGTAGCTATCTAGTTTCATGTCTACGAAGTCCTGAAGTTCTGTCCAAGTAGAAGACTCTCTGAGGTGTTGGAAGCACCTGCAGCTGAACCGGCTCCATCTGATTGAAAAGGCAAAGGAATTGGACCCCCAGCGTAGGGGTGCAGCCTACAGCGGCTCTCTCTTAATACGTCTCTCGGCCAATGCTATGGAGACAGCTGGCGACGCTGAAAAAGGCACGAACTCAAGAGCTTCGCGGTCTGCCTTCTGGGGCAAGGGCGCCACACATGGCAGGTGTCCTTCGAAGCGACTGGATTGGACCAGAGCCGGAGGCCTTCCGCGCAGCTCAGTCAAGGGGCTGTCATGTTTTCCGGCTCTGGCAGGAAGGGCTGCTCAGAGCGGGCTTGCTCAGCCTCGCGGAGGCCATCGGCACAGAAAGGCCATCTGTCCGGCTCCGGCTCGCCACAGCTCGCATGGATGCAAACCAGAGCGCCTCCACGGCAGCCCAGCTGACGAACCGAGCCCTTGCGGAGGCTGCTGGAGTTTCCCCGACGAGCCAACGGAACGCCTGGGGCCTGAGCTCTCGGAGCCTTGCATGGTGGGAGGAGCAATGGTTCCCCCTACTATCAACTTACTAGTGGTGGTATATTGTATGTTCATCTGGTATGTTATGATATGTCGTATTATAACATTGACATGATTGACATGTTATAGTTATTTCGTATGATGTGCTATATACTTACACTTCTGAAGTTGGCAGATTCGCCACAGGCCGCTGTTGACACGGCAGGGCTTCTTCGAGCGCCTGCTGAAGGGCGAGGACGGCTTGGTCACTGCAAAGAATGCCCAACCTAGACGAAGCCTTACTAGGGGGTTGGCACTCATGGCACTCCTTTTTCCCGGATCTTGGATAATCTGAACTTCGTCCTCGCGCGCAGACCTCGCTCCTGGACTGCGCCGCTGCAGATGCTTCTGCTGCCGAGGCAAGTTCTCCTATTGCGGTTTTGTTCATGCTTGTATCGAGCAGATTGCTTAAACTCACGTGTACTGCACATGTCTCCATCGACAGAAAGCATGGAGGATGCTATTTCCCGTTGAACGGAGTGCTTCTCTTCCACCTGCAACCGCAGTCTCGATAATCGCGATGCCCGGATGCCCCATCTGCAGACCCATGGAAATTTCCAGTTGAGAGGCAGATGTGAAGAGGCTTGGATTGCACCAACTCCTGGCGATCCGGTGCGCTGCCCCTTAATTTAGCATTCTTATGACTCGGATTGTGGCAGATCTGTGTATCGGCAAGTTGGTGGTCGAGCAATTGCTCATGTCTGCTGGCAGTTGCAGTGGCTCAAGCTTCCATCAATAATGCAAACGGTGTAGCTTCGTTCTAGCTTCGCTTTGTTGTTGGAGAGTTCTTATGTAGACTCGACTCACCACACAGATGTTGGTCACCAGTGCTGGAATGCGCGGCATCGGCTACCCCATGAGGAGGCACTGCCACTTGTGTTCACACACCACACCCGTGCTGACACGAGCAGATCATTGCAGACCCGTGATATGAGCGGCCAATTGTCCCGTTAGGATAGGCTGGGCCGATTGCATCGTCCCACGTCCAGACCAGGCAAGCTCTCCGCGATACTTTTGCCCTTGCTCTTGCTACCTGATCCTGAGAGTTTCACAAGCTGTGAGAATAGGTTAGTTAATCCGTCCTTGCTCAGAAGGACGTCGAGCTGCCACATGCTCGGGGTCTCAGCGGTCGTTCCGCACAATCTCGACAACGCAACAGCAGGCTGAAGTGACAATGACAGTGCACGCAGGTAGATAGCGGCGGTGCCATGTTCTAAAGCGCTTTGCGCTTGTAGTGCAGCATGGAGTGATTGGAGGTTCCGCAGACGGCGACCTCTCTGGGACGCAGCTGAGGCCGTGGCCTCAGAGGGTAGCAGATGCTAAAAGATGGTAAATAGTGGGTCGCGAAAGCAGGCACCAACTGGTCAATTCGTGCCAAGCTTGGTCGTTGCTGGTGGAGTTTCCGCTAAGGCACTGGGCCTAAGCGGCCTGCTTCGCCAAACTGGCAGGTGGTTTCGCATCGTGGCCACGACTTGAAGTTGTCCTTGCACCGTGTTTTAGGCTCATACGGCCTTGGCGGAAGCGTGGTGCCAAGTGGAAGCAGCGGGTGGCGCCTGTTGTGGCCAGAAATTGGCAGGTCCGAAGCTTATTTTTCATGTGGCAGCGTCTCTGAATTCGCTACCGTGCAGGAGTGGGGTGGCCCGCGCTGGGCGAGGGAAGCATTGGGGCTGCTTCTTCGCCGGCGCTGGTTTTCACAGGTGAGTGGAACGTGTTGGACCTCTGCGCCCCATAGCCGGATGGCACAGTAGGTTTCACCAAGGTTCTGTCCACGAAAAGCAGGGCTGAAGCGCTCAGCTTGCTCTTTCTCTTCGTTGCCAAAGGCCAGGACTTCGAGCATGTCGGGCCCTAACTCTATTCTAGCCGGCTCTGCTTCTGCGGCTGGAAGCTGGTGGTCTTGGTGACAGGCTCTCCCAACCGCGACCAGATCAAGGCGCCACACAGGCAGCAACGGTTTGCGCCATCTCCGAAGTTCAGCCCCAAGTTCAAGACGTGCAAGTTCCTGATGCTCCTGAAGTATGGGGGATGCACATTTGTCACGCGCAGCTAAACTGACCAAATTGAACCCTAGAGACAGCAGGTCAGGACCAACCTAAAGGCTTCACGGGCTTCGCCCCTCTATCGCAAATATCGCACCATGAGACCTCTTGCACATAGCGTGAACGCTCGACATATGCTTGATGCTGCAATCGATGACGAACACAAGCGTCGAAACATCATGATGTGCATATCTTCGGACCTTGTTGCCCGAAGCGCCAGGAAACGGAGAGATTCTGTCGCCCGCTGCCTGTCAGGCACCCGGGCGAAAGATGTAAAGCTAAGAAAGTTACAGCTGCGGAGTTCTGCTGCTTGCTGCGTCTCGCCGTTCAGCAGGTGCCATCTGGCGCTCTCCGGGCACCCCATACCAGGACCGGTCCGGGGCCTGGGCCTGGGGGTCTTGGGGCCCGCGCCGCCGGAACTCGTTTTTTTTTTTTTTTGAGTTTTTCCTTTGACACCGAGGGCTGCAGCGCTGCTTTTCGAGGATGGCCGTTCCTGGCTGCTGGATTCGGTGCCCGTGCTGCATTCAGCTTCACATTGTTAAGGGCCTTATGTGCGTGATGGTGTCGGTTCCAGCAAACAAAAACACAGGAGCCATGAACCAGGAACGCTCAAATTCCCAAGACCGGAAGCGATGGCCTGCTGCGGGGGAAGTGGACCGACTTAAAGCGTCAACACGAATGAATGCTGAATGCGCAGGATTTGAGAGGAAAAGACGGAGCAAAATAGGCACTTCGTGCGCAGCACCTTGGTGTGGAGCGTCGCAAACGCCAGCGTATGCGAGCGTGTTGCTGCTCGGCTCCGACTCCCGAAATTCAGCCCACGCCCTTTGCTCGGGAGCTGGCGAAGTGGGAGCTGGGACCTGCACGCGGAGCGAAAATCTGTGATGCATCGATCAGCCGATCATGGTCGGAGTCCTCTGAGCATCTCTGAGGGTAGCAGGCTTAGTTTTAGCTGTTGTTTTTTCTTAGATGTAACTTTTTCTCTTAGATGCAACTTTTTTCCTTTTTTCTACTGACCCCACCTAGCCCACCTAGCCCACCTGCCCCGCCTACCCCACGACCCCACCTGCCCCGCCTACCCCACTACCCCACCTGCCCCACTTAGTCAGGCTTTGCGTAGGAGGAGGGAATGAGCTCATTCAGACAATCATGCGCGCAGGAGTGAATCCAGCAGGAAACTTTGACCGAAGACGAAAACCGTAAGCAGTGAATCCAGCAGAAACGATTTCCGAAGACGAAAACCCTAAGGAGTAAATCCAACAGGATACTTTGACCCAAAACGAAACAGAAAGGACTGTTGTGGCGTGAATAGACAATTAGTTCTTCAAGGTTCCCGAGTGTTTCTCAGTCACAACCCCATCGCAGACGAGAAACACTACATCATCAAACATTTCATCTTCGGTAACAAGTGCAATCCCGGCCTCTTCATGGCCTCCGTGCACGGGAAGGCTCATATCTACAGATGGCGTGTGGCTACCCCCAAGGTGGGCAAGAAGATCCTGCAATACACCCTTGAGAATCTTTGAGGACAAAACGGACGAGGAGGTGGATGCTGGGTTTGATTATATTGCCACTGAAGGCCCTCGTTCCTCCAGCGAAATGCAACAGTTGAGGTGGATGACGAAAGCAATCAAGAATTCAAGCTTTCCAACTTCAATTGGCCGAACAGTCTCGTTGAAAAAGCCCTCTGCAATCTCGCTACTGAGGCCCATTCCGTTCACGAGTACCTTATACCATGCTTGGATTCTGGACATCTTCGAAAGGATTTGGGATTTCGATACCTCTGCCCTGGTACTTCTCGGGGAAGCTGGAGCTGGGAAGCTGCCTTTGGTCGTCTCCTGATGGCTCAGGTGCGACACAATTCAGGTCCGCTTCAGCAGTCGCCAGAAGCCTTGCATGAGATGTACCCCTGAGATCGACTTCCTTCGTGGTGAGCAAGGACACGTCGCCATGGCGGACGTTTTGGACGACACCACCATCAAGTGGCCTTCTAGCAAGATGTTGAATCCTTGCAGGACGTGGGTCTGTATGAGGCCATGTCACGCAAAGTCAAAACAGAGAGCATTTTACCCAGTGTCCGCCACGATGCGTTCTCGCAAGCCCGCATTCGGTCCTGACATCACCAAAGCCCACATGAATGCAATTTTGAAGCGAAGCGTCTTCGTGGTAAACACAGACACGCACATCCATTACAGGAAAGCTGGCATCAAACAAGATCGCGTTCGTCGTATCGAAATTCCAAATGCCGAGTGTCTCACGGATGCAGGGAAGGCTTTTGTACGGGATCTTCAAAATGGCGGTCGTCTGCTGCCTCCCGACTTCAGCGCCCAGATGCGTCGGGGGGCAAGAGTGGGTGTACTAGCCTTGTTTCCTATGCTTGCCTGGCAAACTTCGCCCCGACGTGGCCCTGCAAGACAGCCGCCGCACAGACCTTTTGCTATGTGTTTGTCTCTAATCTCTTGACTGTCGAAGTGTTGCGAACGTGGGGCCCGGCAGGAGCAACAGCCTGATGAACGATCTCGGCGTTCGCGGGAAAAGAATTGCTCGCACCGTGCATCCTTGTTTTCGTCATACCCAGCAGCAACCCTGCGAAAGAAAAAGGATGTGTTTTTTTGCCCGCCTACTCAGCGACACAGAGTTACAACTTAGTCACTTTGAGGAAAAAGCTGAAAAGTATAAGCTTAGCATTTTACCATCTCTGGACATTCACGCGGTGCGGCTCGTTTTGATAACATTTCCAGCTCTGAAGCTGCAGCTAGAGGATGTCATCGTCTCATCGGTGGGAAGCCTGCCAAGTGAGAGCTCATTGCTGACGCATGCAGCCTGCCTGCAGCAAGAGATCCTGCTGGGTAAGCCATCTTATTCACCAAGGAGCAGTGGCTGTTTTTCGTGACATGATGATCACGAATAGGTCTGGACAGCTGGCAAGTCGAACGTCGCTTGCCCGCAGAGTCTTGTGAGGGGGAACTGACAGCTAGCGCCGTGGAGTTTTGTTCCATTCTCCCGCTGAGTCTGGTGGCGTGCGGGAAGTGGTTTCGCCTCGGTCCGATGGCTTGGAGGCTGCGGCTTACAGGCAGCAAAAGCCGAGCGTTGAGTCTGCGCCTGCGCATAGACATGCTCAGACACGGCTTGATTCTCTCTTCGATTGGCAGGCTGTTTCGCTCCCTGGGGCTCCCTGGAAGCACTCGGATGTGCTTCGGCACATTGTCCAGCGCGGCACGACCAGGTCGCCTGCCGGCAGTGCTTTGATCCTGCTGGACGACCAGCATCCTCCACTGCCCCTGGTGGAGCACGGGCAGTCTCGGATCAGGCTTTCGGCCTTCTCACATCAGTCATACTTGTTCCTTTGGATGAAGTGGTCGAGTGTCAGTACAGACTTAGTAAAGTGTGAGTTGAATCACTTGTGATTCGCAAAGACCGGTCTAGGCGTGCGCTCTTCTTGCTCGGCTGTCCAGCTGGGCTGAACCCCTCGCAGGAGCCTCTTGTCCTGTAAAGCCGGCATTGCCCAACGACGATAGGGTGCAGGAACACCTGCTTGCTTGCTCCCCTTTTGTTGATCACCGCCATGTAGCTCTCCCATGTCAGGCCCCTGCTCACATATCCATCAATGCCCTTTCTCAACACATCTCCTGGGCAGATACCTGTTTGCCGTGCGCCGCGGGCCCCTTCGACAAAGCCTGCTTGTTGACCCTAGCGCTTCAATGAACCTCAAACATGTCTTGAAGGAGCATGCTTTTGCACGTGCGGCACGTTGTGCTGGCTGGCAGGCGGGAGCGGAGTATCATGCAGTCACACGGTGAGATGGGTTAACAAACGGACTTTCAAGTTGCCTCAGAAACTTTCAGAAAACGCCCAGCACTTTGTCAACAAGCCGTCGTCATGAGCACCCAAAGCACGTCAGCCGGGTTGTGCGAAGCAGGTCCTTCGGCTGCGTCTGGGCAAAGCATCGGAGTTTGCCTCGAAGATGGTTCTTCGACTTCAGGCTGCCGGTCGAATTGGGATCGGCAAGACGTCTGAAGGATCAGGATCCTGAAGAAGAAATCCTTTGGTAATGGCCGCTCAGGTTTGGCACTCGTGTGGACGCCTTCTACCATCCCTCGATGCCATGACAGTACCTGGAGGTGGACATGGAGGGACTGAAGGACTATGGTCGATGGCTCTGTTTGAGATCCGAGGAGCGTAATTGCACCTATCTGGTTCGAAAACATCTGTAGTGAGCAAAGCTCACCACCCTCTCTGCACTTGTACTTTTCAGTTCACGGAGGTGCCGGAGTCTGCATTGATTCCCTATGCATTCCCGTCATTCCTTGCAGGACCCTTCTTGCCGTGGCCATCGCAGCGCAACCTGGCAACGGACTATGATAGCGGCGCTCTGACCAAGGCGGGAAGAAGGGCAAAGGGCCGTGAGATTGTTGAATCCTAGAAGCTACAGCTACAGCTACCATGTACATCCATCTGCCTCATCTTGCAGCCCGTCAGTCTTGTTCGCCCTGGCCGCAGGTTGCGGTCCATTTCCTTGTGCCCATTGAAACAGAGTCTGGCCTGCAAGACGCGTAGGCTTCCGAAGTTCTTTATGGTGTGTATGGGAAGCTTCCGCTTAAAGTGTCAGGAGCTGTCCGAACTCTTGGACCGCGCGGGCCCACACTCCTCGGCTGCTCGTGATGCGCTGGCTCTGGCAACACGCAGCGCTGTGGCAGCTGTTTGCCACTCAAAGGCGCCGCAGGGCACACGAAGACGCGGTTGTACTTGTACACTTGTATGGATGACAGCTACCGTTGAAGTTGAAGAGGTTCGGGGATCCGCGGCAGGGCTAGCGTGACAGATGCCATGCCGAAGATGCCAACCCGAAACTCGTGTTTGGCGTTGTTTCATGACGGCTTCACCGAGAGGCAACTTAGCACAGGACACCATAGCAGCGAGACGTGACATCTGCCCATAGCAGTGGAAAGGGCGGATGGCGCGGCTGCCAGATCACTTTGTGACGCTCGGAGCAACTTTGAATCGCCGGCAAAGCGGGTCAAGGATTCAGGAATTCACAGATACTTACAGCACACTTGAGCTCAGGCTTTCGATGCGGAGGCATGATCACTATCCGCGGCAGGCTTGCGGACAGGCTGGTCCACACGTCTCGCGCATTCAGCGAGCAGCTTGGATGCTGTGGATCTGTTAGATTCTGTTAGATCTGAGATTGCTTTGCTGCTGTTTGCGACCATCGCGCCAAAGACTAGCACGTGTCTCAGGCGTGTTTTCCTCAAAGAGCTGAAGAAATCTGGGCTGAAACAGCAGGAGGACTGAGCATATGCGACGTCACGTCACATGATGTTATGCTGCTTAAAATCTTAGGCTCTACTGCAAGCCTACAGCTTTTTGTGTAGACTCTAGCACATTCCTCCGTTGGGCACGACTTTGGCGAGGAAGCCTCTAGCGGGATAAGAGTGCACAGAGGCAAGCGCTGCAGTGTGATGTGCAAATGAGCCTCCAGACAGGCACAGACACGTTTCTGTTTCCCGGCAAGGCCAGAAGATCAGCTGTGGAGGCGCGCTGGTGCTGGACCTCGCTGCGAACGGAAGCTCGCACGTGCCACTCAAGCAACTATGCAGTGGAAGGAAACGCATACAGTAGAAAAGAGCTGAGGGATGATGAAAACCCCGAGAGCATTCTTAAAGCTAGATGCGGCCGTACTTTAAGAGCAATGGAATTCTTTGTAAAACGATACGCGAATGTTTGTAGCATTAGCTCAGGCCATACAGTCCCAAAGTCCTGTAAAACGATAAGAGCAAAGTAAAACGATAACCATGTTAAGGGTCATGCAAATGGGTGGGGGTCTTCACGCGCTTTTAGCTGGAGCTGCTGAGCTTTGCTGAGGATCCGGCTTTGAATGCTATTCACCCAGCCGAGAAGCTCAGGGCTGCATTGGGGCGGCGACCTGCTTCTTGGCTTTTGGCTAAGCAGTCTCTTCATCTCTTCGCTACTAATTGGCTATTCTGGTGCTCCTAAGTAGTGCCAGGCAAGGGGCATGAGGATTTGATGTGCTACTGTACCCTCGCAAGACTCACAAGCCAATTCCGATTGCGCTCGCACTGCACTCAGGAATCCTTCTTCGTCGATCTCGGGACTAAGAAAGTCACCGCTGCACCACACCATGTGGCTGCAGCTCTGCGTGGGTGTGAGCGGGCCAATGCACCAGAGGCCAGAGCTGTAATCAGTCCTCTTGATACTACATGGTAGCACTGTTGCGTTCTGGCTGTTGTCATGCGAATTTAAGAAGGGATAGTAAACAGACTCAATTTATCTGTTCTGGCTAATTTCTTAGGGTGCTCCTTGCTTCCCTTCGGTGGTCCAGTAGAGTCTAGAGCGAGCTGTGAGGTCATTGGCATCCTCCAGAGCGGCCTCCTGGGCGAGGAGTCCTCATCCATGGAAGTTCTGCGAACCGTGCTCAAGGCACCCTAGGCCCTAAGCCTACTTTTTCAGTTCCCTGGGACGACAAGAAGTCCGTTCGAAGTAGCAGAAAAGCTGAGCCGGATGCCAGAGCTCCATGCGTCTCTGCGGCGGATAGGCCAAGACTTCATTTCATCTTCAGCTGCTACGAGCTTCCGGGAGTTTTTTCTTGACGACGTCTTCGCAGAAAGCCACGGTGGCAAGGCAAAGCCAAGGGCCGGCCGGTCCTTGGCTTCTTCTGTCTTTTTCTCTCGGTGTTCTTCGAGAACAAACGGTGAAACCCCGCTGCGAGTGTGACCGGAAGATATCTGAACGAAGCTTTGCAGGCTTTCAGAGGCACCGTTCGATGCTCTATCGATGCAGATCTAATTGCTTGAGCGCCAGTTTCAGATCCTGAGACCAACGATGTCAGAATTGCCTCTTTACCATCGGAAACAACGGTAATTTCTTTCCTGGATTTGCTTTCGGACGACGCCCATGAGTGCCTCAACCTGGCTTTGGGTCACTGGCTTGGGCTTGGTAAGGGGTCGGTATTCCCGGGCAGCGCAGTCGGTCGCTTTTTGGCTTCGTCCAAGACCCCGACGAGCCTCCCACGCGCCCTGCGATGCTCGCCTCTCTGTGGACCGGGCTGCAGCCGGGCCACCTCACGATGTGACAGGGCAGATCCGAGTGAAGTACTGGAACTTACCAGGAAATTACGAGGTGGAATTTGTTGACAGAGATAAGTTGCACACGGCTTTCAATCGTTGTGCACCCTGAAGACGGTGCGGCGAACGGGCTAACGCGTGCAGTGGCGTACGGGAGTCCGTCCGAGCAGGCCCGGCTCCGTTAGTGCCGGTCTTTCAGTCCGAGCAGAGGGCGAAGCACACAGATTCCAGGGCATCGACCCCCTTGTCATTGACATCGTGGGTCTTCTCCAGAAGATACGCGCGTCCATGTTCCAGGATGGATGCGCGCTTTACAAGACGACAGTGAGCAGAAGTTCAAACTCTGGGTAGCTTCCACACGATAGTTAAGCACGACAGCACTCGGCCGAGTCAGCATGAGTCAGCCTCGTGATGCTTGCTATGTACAGGGTGCTCGACTAGCGTGATTCGCGCCTCTTGATTTTATGTCCTATAGGAGGACATCGCTCGATTTCGTGTGGCACGGCACCAAATCCCAGGACCGACACCTGTGCTTCATGTTGTACAGGTGTGGAGAAGCCATACGTTCGCTCATGATCTGAAGGCATTACCCACAAACCATTTACCTGAGCCTGAAAAACCCTAAGCCGCAAACTGTAAGCCCTCAACCCCTGAAAAGTCTCCTCAGACTTTGCAGATTCAAAAGAGATGATCAAAGACTTCCATTACTTTTTCACTTGTTCTCGTGTGCTTGGCACCCGTGCGAGAATCCCTGGCCGGAGCTGTATGTCGATCTTTGTAATCAGGCGGTTGTAAAAAATACCCTGTCAACCGGACCTGTAATCCCACCTGGAACAAACTCGGGATAGTACCGGGAGGGCATGCTGCACCGAATGATAATTTAGCATCGGCTAGCCGCTGGTGGCGTATTGCTACTCTCATACGTCTGATTGGGGTTGTCGGCATCTGATATTTATACTATGATATGATGGCATCCCGGCGTCAGATGCAAGAACCTTGACCTCGGCCAATCCGCTGCTGGGCGACAAGGTGCAAAGGCACGACTTCATGAGCCGAATGCTCGATGCAGAAACACTCCCCAGCAGCTGATTCTCTCAAGTGGCACTCTTAGTGCAGAGAGGGCGGGGGGGGAGAGATGTAGAGAGAGGCAGTGGAAGCAAGCGGTTCAGACTGCAAACATATCAACAACTTGAGAGGCAAGCTTTCTGAGCCTTGTCGACCGCTGTACAACGTCGCTGCTGGGTCGGGCGCTGCAGTTCTTCGATGCCACAGTTCGCATACGACAGATCTTCAATTTCTACAACCTACAGAGTCATGCGAGATCCCTACAATGGCCCTACAACATCCTGCAACCTCCACAACCGACCATAGCTCATGGGCTGAGGTCAGCGTCTTCTGGGAGCTGAGCTGGAGGCCGAGACTCGGAAAGGGCACCTCCTTGTTTCGCATGCACGTGCTACGGATCGTATCGACCTGTGTTTGCACCAGCTGGGACGTAGGTGTCGAGGAACTTGCTCGGACTGGGGTCAGAAGGGTGCGAAAGCGAGGGAAGCCTTGTCCTGAGAGCGGGTTAGGTCACTACCGGAACATCTAGCAAGGAAACAGACCAGGAACTTCCCTGACAACGGCCTGCTTGTCCGCACACCTGTGGTCTACTAAACATGCTGCTTGGAGGCCCTGAGCGATGCTCATCGAGCGCTACTTAGCGGCAAAAGTGATTTGTTGATTCGTTGTTGACTTGACAGTCCAAACGAGTAAGTAGAAGGTGCTGAGCTGCTTCGGTACTTAGAGCATTTAGCTCACAATCAACACTCAGAGCAGGCCCCCACCTGCAGGAATCGTGCCCTCACACCCTGCAGGCTACTTCTGCGTCACATCGCTCAGATCTCAGCGACGATGCGAAACATGTCCGCCATGACCATGAGGAGGCCCGGCTTGGGCTCGCAACAGCATCTCCAAGGTGCTGATTTACGGTGCTTCGCGGACGCTGGCAGCGACAGGCCCCGGGTCAGTCAGGTTTGCCTTTGCAGTTGCTGTGCAGCGTTGGCCATTGCTCCTTTGCACCCTCATGCCAACAGTCTGAGACTGCATGTTCCATCAAGAAGCTGCAATCAGAGCGCACTAGCAATCCACAGTACAGATTACCCGTACGAGTAGATTTGCTGCAAGCTGATCACACAAAACTTCCCAACTCCACACACCTCCAAGCATAACGCTGCTCCGACTGGGTGTGCCGATGGCACCGCAAGAGCTGAGCGGCAACGTGAACCTGGACCAAGGCAGGCTCATTTTGTACCGTGCATCTGTGACCACAGTTCAATACTAGTACCTTGGAATTTTCCATAGCTGTCGCAGGTGCAGTCAAGAACCTCATGGAGGCGCAGAGTGATCAGAAGGACGTGTGTTTCGGAGCCTGAGGGAGGACCGTGCCAAGCCCTGAAAGCCCACTTGGAAGGACCTCCCTCCTGAGCAGGTGGCCTGGTCGAAGCATCGTTGCACCAATGCGCCAGCATGTCTAAGCTGCGTCAAGCCGTTCTTGTGCTTCGCAACTGTTATTCAAGCAGAGCTGCTGATTTCCAGATTGTGTTCTTCGTGCGCCATGGGCAAAGCCGATGGAACGCCGCGCAGGCCCTCGCGTGTGTGCTGAACTTGTGCATGGTCGCATGATGTCGCATGTTCATCACATGCCGGTGCATCCAGTTACATTTGGAGTATGTTACTCCGTTATGCGACTTTCCTGTGTTCCCAGGCGAACCTTTCGCCACTCGGTATGGTGTGGGAGAATGTCATGGGCTCGGCTCAGCATCCTGCCGCAGCTTCTCTGCTTGTTTGTCCCACCACTAATTTGATCGATTCATGTTCACCGATCTCAGCCGTGTCGGGTAGTCTTGCCCGGCACTTTTGTTTAACCAAGTAAGTTCTGATGAAGACAGACAAGATGTATGGTTCGTAACCCGCGATTCTGCCGCGCCCCAGGACCACGGCCTGTCCGAGGACTGCATCAGTAAGAAATGGTCACTGACTGCTGGCTGCTGATGGTCTGGCACTCCATGGCTCGTACCGCGCAGGATGGCCGCCTTGAAGCCGAGGACGGCAAGAGACCATCGCATAGGGGGGTGAGGATGAGTTGATTGCCTGAGGAGCTCAGGCAGAAGCTGATGGATGCTAAGGCAGCACAGCTGTTGGGAGGCAGCTGCTTGCTGGAGCCATCCGGAGCCACGTTTGTCAGGCCCGGGTGATGAACCCACAGGCTCGTCCGTTGAACCCTCAAAAATCCCAAGTTCGCAAGTTCGGGTCCGTGGCCAGGCAACCTGGATGACCAGGATCTTTGGCCCGGGCCCCAGAGTCCTCAGCGAATCTTCTCGAAGTGCTCGGAGTGTACGGCCGTGCTGAGACCCTGACGTGATTTGCAGCTCGTGAGATGCTCAGATCGCTATCCCCTATTCTTTTTGATGATCGCCAGAAAGCAGCCTGTCAGTGGATTGTGCTTAGCTTCTCCGGGAGAGACAGCCCGCAGGGCAAACATGGCACAGGCCCTTCACCCGCTGCCTCGAGACTGCCTGCATAGCTTTCAAGGACTCGGTCGTGACATGAATTCGCGAGCAAGGTTAGGGGCCGTGACATGGGCAGCTGAACATTGGCAATTATGAACTACGGCTGCTGGGACCGGCTATGGGCGTTTCTGGAGTCCTGCCCGTGCATGTAGCTTGTTGGTTCGTGGATGCCCACTCTCTTTCCAGGGTTGTCAGCGCATAATTACCCACAAGCCTCCTCAGCCTCAAGCTACCAAGCTCTACAAGGAAGTGGGTTGGTGTCACCTGGCATGACGAGCCACACAATGTTGCGTTGGGTATCGTTGGGTTGCCTTGCGCTTGCGGCTGAAGCTGGCGAAGACGATCACCCTGTTGCGCTCGACTGAGCGAAAGAAACCATTCAGAAGTCATAGTTACGCTGAGCCGAAGGCTTCTTGTGGTCTCGTGCCTGGCATCAACAGCGACGTTGTGCTTTCGAATGAAGCTGTGAATCAGCGTGCGCGGCTTTCCTGTCTGAGCCCAAAAGAAACGACCGCGATTGTCGCTGTCTAGGCATTCCCCCAAGTTGGTTGGAAGTTGGTTGCGACAGAGGGTCGGGAGTTCCTCTGACACTTGTGTTGGCATGCTCATCCATCGGCAGCGAGGATTACAGAAGAGCATCGTTCGACTGAGCGAGACAACCCGGAAGTCATAGTTACTCTGAGCTTGCAGATGGCAGGACCTGATGTGGCATGGAGACACGTTGGACGGAACATGACATGCACTGGTGTTCATCTACATAACCGAAGATTTGCTCACTGGCTTTTGTGTCTCTGTGTGAGAGTTCCGTTCAAGCCGACTACGTAAAGCTACGGAACCTCAAGGACAGATCAGCTCCCTCTGCGGCTTAGCAGAATGTTCTCAAGCATCTCGTTGTGCTATCTTGCTTGGGAAAGAATGATGGCAAGTGTTGTGGCGGCTGTGCTTGTGCAGGACTTCATTCCGAAGTCTGGGCTAGAGATCTTCCGCGAGGCCATGACATAGCTCCACAGTTGACATGCAGAGCTGGGGTCGTGCTGTACGGAACCTTCATGCCTGCCATGCAAGTCTGCTAGTTTTTGTTATGCCAACAACTGGATATGTAGATGTTGTACTGCACTACTTTGAATCGTAGTTGCTCCAACTCAAAAGGGTTCTGTGATCCGCTCGCATCCGCTCGCGGTTCGCCCCTCGCTCGTGTTTGCAGAAGGCATGCAGTCCTCGGTGCAATCTGCACACGGTTTATACGCGCAGCCATCCATGCTTGCAGCCTGCATGCGCACATACAGCGCACGCATGCATGCATGCATGGACGGACGGATGGTTATGTAAACACACATAGCTGAACATATGCAAGTACACACCCATTTTTGTTTTTTGTTGTTACTGCCATGAACATCTGTGTGTGTGTATATGCATATGGCTCTTTCCCAGTGGTTACCCGCCCTTGTCCTGCAGTGACCTGCATAGACTGTATCCGGTTTGAGCTCCGAGACCCCCAAACATTGAGACCTCTCGGCTGCTTACGCTCTCCCAGAGTCGCCAGACCCGCGAGAGGTCCCAATGTTTCGGGCCTCCAAATCACAAAAGCAACTGGGACCTCTCAGCCCTTTCACACCCCAAGAATCCCGAAACCATGAGGTCGCAATATTTTGGGGGTCCCAATAAAACCAATGCTTTGGAGTCTCCAGGCCCATGCTGCCCAGAGACTCTCAAACATTGGTTTTATCGGGACCTTCCATCGTGTTTGGCTCATAGGCCGCTAGAGCATTGGGACCTCTCAACACATTCGCACTCCCAAAGCTGCAGAATCAGGAGAGGTCCCAATGTTTTGGGTTCCCACACCGCCAAAATATTGGGACCTCTCTGCACGTGTCCTCTCCAGCCAAGCCCTGGGTCGTCGCAAAGGTTTGGACTCCCATATATGCGATGCATGTGAAGCAATTAAAAAATGAGAATGTCAATATTTTGAATAAAGATGCATTCTTTACTTCATTACATCGCTTATTAGCTTTTGAGGATCAGCATTTTTTGCGTTTGAACACTTAAATCAATTAAGTGCTTATTTTTGAAGTTCTCTTACTAATAAATGTAGTAATCAATCAATAGAAATGTAATGCTTCATATTCGGTGATTACCAAAAAACTACAAGAAATGTTTCACGTGAAAAATTTAATTGCAAAATCAAACGGAATGTTTCTAACAAATAGACATGTCATATAAATGCTCAGAATTGTTTCAAATTACGACTAATTAGTTTCAATATTTTGCACAGCAAATAAAGTCACGCATGCATCAATATCTGTTCGATAGATGTCCAGTATTGAACGATGCGACTATGCCCGACTACTGCCGTTACACCAAGAGAAAGCTTCAGATTGTTTGGTGTTGAATAATCGTTTAACATTTGATGTTCACATAAAGCAATATTTCATCTTCACATAGACCTTAAGTAGTACTTGACGATTATGAACCCGTATCATTCCACAAAGCCACTGTTTGGCAGGCTTTTTCATGACTACCTCAACCAGACTTGTTGAAAATTGAGCCGCTACGTACCTTGTGGAATATTCGTTTGGTAAATGAGTAGCGCCCGCTGCATTGTTGCAGGTATGTCGTCCATTGAAATCTGAGGATCGCACGTTGGATGATTTGGTTTATTGGCTAAGCGCTTAGTATTTACATAAAAATCACTATGCTTTACCACTACAGCCTGTTGCTGTAGGTACAGCTTGCCTAAGCAGTCGCTTGATACCTGGTTGAATGCTCAGTGCTGGACTTTCTTCTTATATGTAGTTAACATCTTAACTATACGGAAACTTGTAAGTTCAACCAGTATCAGTTGAAGCTCTGATGTTCGCAGACTATTTAACATCAAGGATTGTTCAGCAAATGTTGGTAGCTCGCAAAAGCTGAAACAGTCTTGACAAGCATTTAGTCAAAGCTTGGTTAACATCAAGCATGGTTTCCTTGATATTTAACCCGACGGCTATCCCCTCTTACGAGTATTTCACGAATATGTCAACACTGTTAGCACGCGTACTGTTCAATTATGCCGGTGGCATTTCATGACTTAGTCGCTGGTGAATAATGATAAGTAGTGCCCGCTTACGTATGTGTTCTGTCTCCTTTCCAATGAAAGAAGCTGTAGTCACCACGTATCCAAAGACGAACTAGTACGTAGCTGCTGATTTGAATTATTGTTTGTGTCTTGTGTGCTACTGCGCCGATTAGCCATTCCAGTAGAAATCATGAATATTGTCTGAGTGCTGCTTATTGTGCCGGCTTGAGCAGTATCTAAGTATGAGGCAGAACAACATGAAGCACTCAACAGCAGCTTTTGACCTAATCTTAAGTGGATAGTGGCTCTGACAGAAGCGATAGCATGCAATAACAGATGTATCGCACATCCGCTCTGAACGTGAAATTGTAGTGGATGGCAACTGGATGAGACATGAGTATTTTGCGAGCAGTACAGGACAAAGATTTAGTGGTGGCCAGGGCCTCTTGGCAAAGGAAGTTCTGCAGACACACCGGTGGAGTAAACCCAAACAGGTCGGTACATCGGGGTGAGGGGGTGTGGCATATGTATGTGTATGTAAGTATATATATATACACATATTTATTTGTTTGTTTGTTCAACTTTTTCATTTATTTGCATAGTTTTCAACTTTATGTTTGTTTATGTATTTATGCACATGGATGCAGATATGCAGGCATGAGTGCTTGCATGCTTACCCAAACCCACCCACGCAGCCAGGCAGCGAACCATTCATCCATTCGCCTGTCTCCCTTGCCCACCTACCAAGTACCTACCTACCTATTACCTACTTGCATACCTACGTATATACCTACCCCCACCCACTCACCGCCCGACCTACACATACAAATACAGAGACATAGATATGTCATGTACATTTAATATATACACACACAGACGTCAGGAAACACAGACATGTCACAGAACAGGCGCACACACACACACACACGCACGCGCGCGCACAGCAGAATTATGTTTCAGCATGGCAGGCGCGGGAGCACAAGAAGCTCGGAGGCTTCGATTCAACCGGCGTTGCATGCGGCAAGGCGTCAGTTTGTGTGTTCTGGCCGTGTTTTGTCATGCATTGCCCAGAGTTTGGTCGGTGTTCCGTCTTCAGAGAACTCTGCATCGATGCAAAGCTGCTCTTGTCTCCAGCTAGCAGCCCATGCCAGCATTGCCATGTAGGACATTCCAGAACGAGTGCGAGCTGAGCTGGAAGCCGTGTACCAGGCGTTTTGCTGATTTTGCGGTTGCAAGGCTTAGAGTCCTTTGCATACCATCTCTTGCTGCTCACCTCATGTTGTGGTACTGGGGGGGAGCTGTTCCTTGACTCCTACGCTGATGCAAAGGCCAGCCCAGATTCTGAAAGGACAGAAGCTGTGCTCAAGGAGTGACTTCGCTCCAGGCTGTTGTGATGGAAATCTTGTTCGAGATGCAATGCAGGAGTTCGACACGATCCACATCGACACGTCGACCGTTGAGGACGAGTGGTGACGCCCTCGATCGTGGGCCAAAGTCTGGGGTGCAAGAAATCCATGCAACGGCGACTGTACATTCGGAGTAGTAGATGTGGCACCCAAACTTGCAAGGTGGGGAGGCATGCTGGGCGAAAGCTATGCTGACATAGACGAAAATCAGCAGGCACAGCGCTGTTCGCTCTGCTCGTTTGGTTTGTGACTCGAAGATATCAACACTCCATCGTGGTTCTACACTGCCGGCATGCAGGCGTTGATGCGTCGACTTCGGAGCATGCGCGGTTCCGTGGCCAGAGCCCAGTCGGCCTCACATGGCTCATTAGCTAAGGCAGCTGTGTTCAGCTTGTTAAGGCGGGTGGTGGAGCTGCAACCGTGCTGGTTGGCCACTCCTACTGCATCCGCATCCTGGCAGAAGCTTTCAGGTTGAGCTGGTACACCCCGTGTCGCAGCACCCCGTCTCCCCACATCATCATACATCATCCATAATTCAGCAGCGCATGAATGCACGATGGGCTTGCTGTAGTCAAAAGAGTCTCAGGTTCTATCTTCGACGCTTATCTTCCGAGCAGCCATTCACCGAGATCAGCAAGAATTTCGCTGTGTCACGCTCTGTCACGCTGGCTTTATTCGCTGTCGCAAACTCTGCGTTCTGCTGCGTCTCCACAGCATCGCCTGCGGGAGTCGCATGCTGGTAGCACTTTTTGTATTCCGCTAAGGCTTCCTCACACCGCTTAAACTTCTGAAAAGCCTGACAACCAACAGTTGGATGGCAAAGGCGCAACCCCGGATGCTTCTTCCCTTCGCAGCAAAGCGCTTCCATGCTGTGGCGTCGTCGGAGCCAGGACCTGTGCAGGGCAAGTGCGCTCTCAGTAGATAGAACGATGCTGGTTGAAAAGCGCGGTTGCAAAATCTGTAAACTGCTTTGCAGGATTGTTTGGACCGATGCTGGTCCGCCCCTGTCGAATGCAGCCACTTCTTACCTCTTTGAGAACAAATTCCACGAGCAGCCTGTGCCTAAGGCCTTCCGGTCATACGCGAAGCCGTTCCGCTGCTGGCAACCCATCTTGTGCGGTCCTGAGCAAATCATATTCACTAGCTTGACAGTTGATCTGAGAAGCACAGGGAGTCATTTTTCATGTCCTTCGCGTTAGGAGCCAGCAGAGCGCGAGGCGGACGGGCAGGGGAGCCGCGCCAGTAGCCACGACCCCAAGTCGTTTCACCTGTGCACTTGCCATCCGTGCATGTTTGTTTCCCGGTCTTCCTGGAATGGCTCATCGACTTCAGGCTGTGCTTGTGGGCGCGGCAAGGTTGATTGCGAGCGGAGCTTAGTCTCCAACTCCAAGACAGTTCCCATCTCCATTTGCTGCCTCGCTGTGCGTGGCACTTCGAGGTGATCTCATAACTCCTGATGGACAGCCTGAGACATGTGAGCAGTTGGCAGATACATGAACTGCAGCGACTATGTCTGACACGAAAGGAGCGGCTGCAAGGGTTTGCCTCTCCTTGGGCTGTGTCTGTGAAATGTTTGTTTCTGCACGGTAGCTCGTCCTGCAAGCTGTGTTGCGGAATCCTCCGCAGTTTTCTGGACGGGAAATGCTGCCTGCTGATGCTGGCGGTTCTCCGTTCGCTGTACCTTAAGTGGCATAGTGATGCATTAGCGGCAGGATTCCAAAAAAGGATTGCAAGACGTTCAGCAACTTTAAGAAATCCGATGATTCAGCATTACGCTCTGCCATAGCCTGTTGAATTCTTGTGTAGTTGAAATTGCGGAGTGCAAGTGGATACAGTACAATTCGAAAGGAATGGGGAAATGGATGTTGCCTCTGGGTCAGAAACATGCCTTTCAATCTTGCTTCCAGGCAGCGGTCACTGGGATGGCTCCGTCGCAGACTGGCCGGGACACAAATTCACAGTTTCCGCCTCACGCTTTGATCAAATCTGCAAACAGTCCTGCAGCAGGTGGTTGTTGGCGGTGGGCGGGACGAGGAGGTATCTGCAGCTCTCTGCCTGTCAGGTGCCTTGGCCGAAGACGTCAGGAATATGGTGTAGCGTCAGAAGGGCCGTCCGAACCACTCGGCTGAGCTATTCTCCATCATGATCATCATGGTGAAAGCACCGCATCGCAAGAGACTACATTAACCACTCCAGAGAGTTCATGCGTAGAACAATCCATTACCCGAAGGAGCAGCAAGAGAACTGAGTCCCAACTTGGCCAAGGATCCAAGGTCAGCATTTAGCACAGTCAGAGAACATTGTTCTCAGGGTTGAAGCGCAAGTTCACAGTTGCCGGAACCAGTGGTGGCAATCGCGCGCGCGGGTTGGTTCAACGAAAGCGCTGGGACGGCTTGAAGACAACAGATCTCCATGGTCGAGTTATGGTTCTGATTCGACATCTTCAGACATACTCTGCATGTCAACCACACCCCAAAAATATGAGGAGTGCGGCAGGGTGCCAATGACGGGTCGCTGCATAAAATCTGGGTCTGACGACAATTTCGGACGAAGGCATCACATCCTCAGCGGGATTGATACGCATCCAAGCTGGCATCTCGAACACTTCACGAAAGCTCGCGTAGCAGAGCT